CCGGGTCCACTGGTGGAACCTCTTCTAACCGGTTCGATAGATTTGATGAACCGGTTCTACCGAATAGGTGCGAACTGGTAGGAACCCACCTCTGAAAGGAATCCTTGCTTCAACTACAGAGGGTTTGTCTGTGTTTGGGAGCTGGGTCAGAAAAGGTTTTGCTCTTGCCTTCTGCCTAGGAGTGAGCGGACGGACTGTCGTGAGGATATCTAGAAGGTTTCCCACTCTTACGCCAGTATAAGTTAACCACTAGTCTCTTTCCACTGATAATCCAGGCAATATTTTGCTAAATTTCAGAAACTAAGCGCAGAAACTGGAGAACGACAATGAATGATTAACTGTTTAAAGTCAGTTAGTTCCTTTGGGGAAGTTCTACAGGCTGGTGCTTTTCTTAGCTTAAGAACAGGAAGAAAAGCGGATCAACCCTTTTGAGATATATTTCCTGTTCCTCACATCATTAGCAAAGGATTTAGGGGCAATCTTATCTAGAAAAGCCCTGCTTTGATCCCGACAACTTCTGAACTTTTCCAATTCAACTCACTTTGGATTCAACTGAATCTGATACATGCTTCTAGGAGAAGCAGCAGGGACATCCATTGGAAAGGCACCTGCATGACCAACGTCTCTTCTTCTTTATATGTGCCACATGCACAAGGGATGCAAAAAAAAAAGGGGGGGGTTCAATTGGAAATGTTCAGCTATCATCTTGACTTTTTTCAAGCCGTCCCCCCCCAGAATAAACCCACGAGATGGAAAACAAATGCTTAACATTTAGACAGGTTTGGCAAAGATTGATTCCTTCTCTAGAAGAGGAGATTATTATATCAAAGCGTTCAAATCTCAAGAGGGAATACTCATTTTAACTTTAATTCTTTTCTTCCTATATATTGCTTCAAAAGTTTTTGGGTTCTTCACTGGAGCTGCTGAGCAACCAGCCACACAGGCAAACCGTTCTTGTCATGAGCAGATCAGAACGAGGATCTGGAAGAATCATCAGAAAAAATAATCTTTGCTAGCAATTGTAATTTAGCAACCTACCTTGTTGTTGGCCGAGTTTGCATCCGCTCTCCACTGAGGGATTATAATTTCATGGGGCATCTGGGGACTGACTGTATTTCTCACTGCTGGAGAAACATAAGGAATTGCTCAAAGATCTTTTATGAACTTGTAAAAGTCACCAGAGGGGGGAAAACCCCCATAATTCATAACCCATTAAGACAGCAACAACTTTTATCACACTGGATATTTCTTATTTATCTTCAGCAGCATCCTTTATTTTTAAAAGAGACTCATCTAGTATTTTCCAAATATTCTGTCTTTAATTTAACGATATCATCGTTTTATTTATTGGGATATGCCCTGCACCAGAAATTATCTCACCATATATTGCATACTTTAAAATGTTGGAAAGAGAAAATAAACAGTGTTAGAATCTCAGAACAGAACAGAATAACAGAGTTGGAAGGGACCTTGGAGATCTTCCAGTCCAACCCCAGCTTAGGCAGGAAACCCTATACTATTTCAGACAAATGGTTGTTTTCTTAAAAGTTTGCACTGTTGAAGCATCCACAATTTCTGAAGGCAAGTCATTCCACTGATTAATTGTTCTAACTGTTGGGAAATTTCTCCTTGGTTTTAGGTTGCATCTCTCCTTGATTAGTTTCCATCCTTCTTGTTCTGCCTTCGAGTGATTTGGAGAATAGGTTGATCACGTCTTCTTTATGGCATCCCCTTAGATATTGGAACACTACTATCATGGTGACTGGCCCCAAGGGGGCTTTTTTCAAAAGACAACTGAAAATTCTTGGTTTTTTTCTTTGAAAACATTTTCCTTCTCATCCAGGAACCTTCTTCAGTTCTTGGTTGGTTCAGCTCTTGGAAGCTTCTTGAATGAGAAGTGAAACTTTTTCAAAGAAAAAGGAAGAAATTTAAGTTGCCTTTTGTAAAAGCATATTTGGGACAACCGTGACCTGGATGATGGACAATCTCCATAAACAATCATAGTGGCCTGATTTAGGAGCAGAACTGAATTTGTTCACTTGATTTTCTTCGGCTGCTCCTTCTGGACTTATAACACTAAAACTTTCTGATACTGAGGTTAAACTGGCAAAGATCTCTGACCTATTTGTGGCTTAATACCCTGCCATTTGTGCTAGGTAGCTCTGCCACTGTGATCCTGTTTTCCTTCAAAGTCACTGGGTTCTGTCCTATTCTTTTAAACTTTATGGCTTTTTGATTTTTGTGGTTTTATTTAGGTTAGTTTTCTCTATACCCTTGGAGGCATCTGATTTACGTTTTGGGATGATCCCACCATCCTGATGACCAAGATCCAATGGCTCATAGGTTAAATGGATGCTAGTAGTCTTTAGGTATATTCCATTCCTTCCAATCTCAGCTTATCTGTTACGCTTCGGCTTTATAAGGTCCCTCTCAAAATGCACAAGGCCATTTTCTCCTCTTGGAAAAGTAGGTTTCACCATTTATCTCTTCTCATTCTTTATTCATCTTTCCCATAACATGCCCCTTTAGAATATAGAACATACAGCATAGAACATACAGCATAGAATCATAGGGCTGGCAGGCATCTCGGAGATCATCTATTCCAACCTTGGACCTTACAAAAAAGGCAAGAAAAACGAAATGCACAGGTACAGTATAGGTGGTACCTTGCTCAATAGTAGTAACTGTGAGATGGATTTTGGAGTCTTACTGGACAACCATTTAAATATGAGCCAGCAATGTGCAGCAGCTGCCAAAAAACCCAACACCGTTCTAGTGCATAAACAGAAGAATAGAATCAAGATCACGTGAAGTGTTAACACCACTTTATAATGCCTTGGTAAGGCCATTCTTGGAATACTGCATCCAGTTTTGGTCGCCATGATGTAAAAAAGATGATGAGACACTAGAAAAAGTGCAGGGAAGACCAACAAAGATGATTAGGGACTGGAGGCTAAAACATATGAAGAATTGTTGCTGGAACTGGGTATGTCTAGTCTGATGAAAAGAAGGACCAGGGGAGACATGATAGCAGTGTTCCAATATCTCAAGGGTTGCCACAAAGAA